AGGCAGCAAGAGAAAAGCAAACTGTTACCTAGAAAGGAGCTCCCATAAGGCTGTCAACTGATTTGTCATCAGAAACTCTACATGCCAGAAGGGAATGGCATGAAGTACTCAAGGTAATGAAAAGCAAGGATCTGAAACCAAGATTACTATATCCAGCAAGGCTGTTGTTCAAATTAGATGGTGAAATAAAGAGCTTCTCAGACAATAAAAGGCTAAAGGAGTTTGTCAACACCAAACCAGCACTTCAAGAAATGTGAAAGGGACTGCTGTAATGAGAAGAAATAGACAGAGAGAGAAACATAGGCATATAGAATTAAAATGGCAATAAATACCTTTCAATAATAACTTTAAATGTAAATGGATTAAATGCTCCAATAAAAAAACATAAGGTAGCTGAATGGATACAAAAACATGACCCAACTACATGCTGTCTACAAGAGACCCACCTCAGAACAAGACACATAGTACTAGAGTGAAGGGGTGGAATAAAAACTTCCATGCAAATGGAAATGAAAGAAAAGCTGGGGTGGCACTACTCATATTTGAGAAAATAGATTTCAAAATGAAGGTCATCACAAGAGACAATAAAAGTCACTACACAATACTAAAAGAATAGATACAACAAGAGGGTATAACCCTGGTAAACATATATGCACCCAATATAGGAGTACCTAAATATATATATTTTTTAAGTTCTGGAGGACATTTAGGGAGAGATAAACAGCAATCTAGTAAAGGTAGGGGACTTTAACACCCAGCTGACTTCACTGGATAGATCTTCCAGACTAAAAATTAACAAGGAAACAGTGACTCTAAATGACACACTGGACCAGATGGATTTAACTGACATTTTTAGAACATTTCACCCCAAAGCTTACAGAATATACATTCTTCTCAAGTGCACATGGGTCATTTCAAAAAGACTGAAATCACATCAAGCATCTTCTCAGATCATAATGGAATGAAATCAGAAATCAACTACAGTCAAACCACTCAAAAAACATTCTAACTCATGGAGGGTAATTGACATGTTTTTCAACAAAGAATATGTTACCAATGAGATCAAGAAAGAAATCAAAAACTTCCTGGAAACAAATAAAAATGAACACACAACAATCCAAAATCTCTGGGACACAGCAAAAGAAGTCCTGACAGGAAAATTCATACCATTACAGGCCTAAAAAAAAAAAGAAAGAAAGAAAATTTAATGATAAACTATTTAACCCTACAACTTAAAGATTAGAAAGAGAACAACAATAAAAGCTGCAAGTATTATGTACACTATTTCGTTAATTACATATTGATTTCTTCTTTGCAGTTAGCTAAACTTATCATGTTGGGTTAGGGTCAAGCTCCTCTGGTTAAAACTGCATCTGCAAAATGCTGTGCTACATTTTAACATTGAACAAGAATAGCATTTAGTAAGAACTGCCCAGACCTTCATATCATTGTCCTATCTAACAGCATGCGAGAATATTTTGGAGTGATGGAAATAGTCTATTGTCTTGATGTGTGGCCAAATGACTGTATAAAGATTTAAAAAATTAATATAACTGTGTACCTAAAAAGGGTAAATTTTACTGAATATAAATTATGCCTTAATAAACTTGAATGAAAAAGAAGAAAAGCTAAGAGTAAGTAGAAGGAGGAAATAATGAACATTAGAGCAGAAATAAATTACATAGAGACTAAAAAAATACAAAAGATCAATGAAACCAAGAGGTGGTTCTTTGAAAGGATAAACAAGATTGATTAACCTTACCCAGGCTCATCAAGAAACAAATAAATGAAATCAGAAATGAAAGTGGTCCCAGTGTCACCCCAATAAATTAAATAAAAATAAATACATAAAACCTTAAAAAAAAGAAACTACTGTAGGTTAGGCAGTCTACATCTATAACTAGTGTTCTTGGGCTCCCCAACTGGTGGGTATAAATGTGGCCATGTTGCCATTAAAGTGGTGAAGTAACAACTGACACCACAGAAATACAAAAGATTGTAAGAAAATACTGTGAGCAACTATATGCTGACAAGCTAGACACTGTGGATGATATGGAAAAATTCCTAGAAAAATACAGTCTTGCAAACCTGAATCAGGAAAAATCAGGAAACCTGAATAGGTCAATAACAACTGAGGAAACTGAAGGAGTAGTCAAAACAACTCCCAGCAAACAAAAGTCCTGGTCTGGATGGCTTCACAGGGAAGATTTACCAAACATTCAAAGATTAACTAACACCTATACTCCTCAAATTATTCCCAAAAATCCAAGAGGAAGGAACACTTCCAAGCTCTTGTTATGAGGCCAGCATTATCCCAATTCCAAAGCCAGATAAAGACACTACAAAGAAAGAGAATTACAGGCCAATATCCCTGATGAACATAGATACTAAAATCCTCAACAAAATATTAGCAAATCAGATCCAGCAATAGATTAAGAATATCATACACCATGACAACTGAGATTCATTCCAGGTATGCAAGGCTGGTGCAGTATTCACAAACCAAAAAAGTGATCCATCACATAAACAAATTGAAAGACAAAAATCCCATGATGATATCAATAGGTGCAGAAAAAGCATTTGACAAAATCCACCACCCATTTCTTTTTTTAATATGGAACACTTCACAAATTTGCATGTCATCCTTGCGCAGGGGCCATGCTAATCTTCTCTGTATTGTTCCAATTTTAGTATATGTGCTGCTGAAGCGAGCACCCATTTTTTTATTTTAAAAAAAAATCTCAGCAAAGTGGGATTAGAGGGATTATATATCAACATAATAAAAGCCATATATGGCAAACCTACAGCGAACATCATACTAATGGGCAAAAACTAAAACCATTTCCCCTAAGAACAAGAACAAGACAGGGATGTCCACTTTTACCATAATTATTCAACACTAGAGACCCGGTGCACAGATTCATGCACCAGTGGGGTCCCTCTGCCTGGCCTGCAGGGATTGGGCCAAAACTGCTTCTCTGACATCCCCCTAAGAGTCCCAGATTGCGAGAGGGTGTAGGCCAGGCCGAGGGACCCCACTGGTGCACAACTGGGGTCAGGGAGGGACCGTGGGAGGGCTCCAGTCTGTGTCTGGCCCGTCTCACCCAATCCAGATTGGGGCCGATCAGGGCCGGTCAGGGAGGGACCGTGGGAGGGCTCCAGGGCATGTCCAGCCCATCATGCCCAGTCCCAATCAGCGGGACCTCAGTAACAAGCTAACCTACTGGTCGGAGCATCTGCCCCCTGTTGGTCAGTGTGCGTCATAACGACTGGTCAAATGGTCGAATGAACAGTCCAACGCATAGCATATTAGGATTTTATTATATAGGACTAGAGGCCTGGTGCACGACATTCGTGCACTGGTGGGGGGGGGTCCCTCAGCCTGGCCTGCACCCTCTTGCAGTCCGGAACCCCTCGGGGGATGTCCACCTAAACCAGCAGGCAGACATCCCCCAAGAGGTCCTTAGTGCTGCCACCGAGGTGGGAGAGTCTCCCATCACCACCGCTGTGCTCGCCAGCCGTGAGCCTGGCTTCTGGCTGAGCGGCACTCCCCCTTTGGGAGCACACTGACCACCAGGGGGCAGCTCCTGCATTGAGCATCTGCCCCCTGGTGGTCAGTGCATGTCATAGCGACCAGTCATTCTGCTGTTCAGTCGATTTGCATATTAGCTTTTTATTATATAGGATAGTACTGGAAGTCCTAGCAATAGCAATCAGACAAGAAGAAAACATGAAGGGCATCCAAATTGGAAAGAAGGTAATAAAATTCTCATTATTCACAGATGACATGATATTACACATTAAAAAAACATAAAGACTCCACCAAAAAACTACTAGATTTAATAAATGAATTCAGCAATATAGCAACATACAAAATTAACCCACAGAAATCAATGGCATTTTTATACACCAATAATGAGTTCTCAGAAGGAGAAACTAAACAAACAACCCCATTTACCACAGCAACAAATAAATTAAGTTATGTAGGAATAAACTTAACCGAGGAGTTAAAAGACTTGTACTCAGAAAACTACAGAACATTGAAAAAAGGGATAGAATAAGATATAAACAAGTGGAAGAATATACTGTGTTCATGGACTGGTAGAATTAACATCATTAAATTGTCCGTAATACCCAAAGCAATCTACAGATTCAATGCAATCCCTCTTAAAATAACAATGGCATATTTCACAGATCTAAAAAAAAAAATACTCCAAAAAATTATATGAAACCAAAAAAGACCCCGAATCACTGCAGCAATTTTGAGATAGAAGAACAAAGTTGGAGGGGTCACAATTCCAGATAAAAAGTTATACTACAAAGCCACTGTAATTAAAACAGCCTGATACTTGCACAAAAACAGACATATAGATCAAAGGAACAGAACAGAGAACCCAGAAATTGACCCAAGCCATTACGCTCAATTAAATTTTACAAAGAAAACAAGAGCATACAATAGAGTCAAGAGAGTTTCTTCAGTGAATGGTGTTGGAAACATTGGACAGATACATGCAAAAAAATGAAATTAGACCACCAACTTACACCATACACATGAATAAGCTGAAACTGGATAAAAGATTTAAATATGTCAGGAAACCATAAAAATCCTAGAAGAAACCATAGGCACCAAAATTTCAGACATCTCTCATAGCAATATATTTGCTGATACATTTCCTAGGGCAAAGGAAACTAAGGAAAAAATAAACAAATGGGACTACCTCAAAATAAAAAGCTTCTGCACATCCAAAGAAACCATCAACAAAATGAAAAGGGAGCCCACTGTGTGGGAGAACATATTTGTCAGTGATACACATAATAAAGGGTTAATATCCAAAATATAAGGATCTCATACAATTTAACAAAAGGAAGACCAATAATCCGATTAAAACCGGCAAAGGGGCGACGGTGGTGGTGGCGGCGGCGGCGGCAGTGGGTTCGGTTGCGCGTGGCGCACGGGGTGGGAGCGGAGCCCGGCTGGGAATAATCGCGGTGGCAGAAGTGATGGACGTGTATTGAGTCCTGTTCTGGCTCTCAGTGCTTATTACCTTGCTGAGTCTTTGCAATGCTCCCACGTGGTGAGTGTCATCTTGCAGATGACAAGTTTGACATAGAGAAAGCAACTTACCAAAGGCACACAGCAGCGGGCAGAGGCCCTGGTCGTGGCCCCATCCATCAGGCTATCCCGCCGTTTTACTGGTTGGATACTTTGTGGGACGTTCTGCTGTGGTTCCTTGGAGATGGGAGAGCTGAGACGAGAGTAGGGGTGGGGGTGGGGGTGTGGGTGACAGTATTTCTCTTCTTCAGAGCTGTTTCCTATTCAGATGGAAGGTGTCAAGCTCACAGTCAACAAAGGGCTGAGTAACCATTTCCAGGTGAACCACACAGTAGCCCTCAGCACAATCGGGGAGTCCAACTACCATTTCGGGGTCACGTACGTGGGGACAAAGCAGCTGAGTTTCACGGAGGCATTCCCCGTGTTGGTGGGTGACATGGACAATAGTGGCAGCCTCAATGCTCAGGTCATTCACCAGCTGGGCCCCGGCCTCAGATCCAAGATGGCCATCCAGACCCAGCAGTCTAGGTTCGTGAACTGGCAGGTGGGCAGGGAGTACCGGGGTTCTGACTTCACAGCAGCGGTCACCCTGGGGAACCCAGACGTCCTGGTGGGTTCAGGAATCCTCGTGGCCCACTACCTCCAGAGTATCACGCCGTGTCTGGCACTGGGCGGAGAGCTGGTCTACCACCGGCGGCCTGGGGAGGAGGGTACTGTCATGTCTCTAGCTGGGAAATACACATGTGAGTCTGGGGCCCGAGGGTAGGAGTGGGGCTGGGCCTCGGACTCCTGGGTCTGGGCGAGGGGACCTGGGTTCTCAAGTCCCCCTGGTAACCTACCCCCACCCCACACTGCTCTCTTACAGTGAACAACTGGTTGGCGACAGTAACGTTGGGCCAGGCGGGCATGCACGCGACATACTACCACAAAGCCAGCGACCAGGTGAGCTGGTCCAGAGACCGGCCGCGAGCGCGCACTTCCAGGCATGGGTTGCTAGGGGCTTGTGTGCCCGGGAGTCCAGTCTGGGATGCTGACTCTGTTGCCCTGGCCCCTCCAGCTGCAGGTAGGCGTGGAGTTTGAGGCCAGCACAAGGATGCAAGACACGAGCGTCTCCTTCGGGTACCAGCTGGACTTGCCCAAGGCCAACCTCCTCTTCAAAGGTACAGGCCTCAGTTTCCCCGCATGGAAAACAAGACGAGAGGTGACTCAGCTCTGAGTGGGTGTAGGCCAAGGAGATGGTGAAGGGCATCAGGCCGGGACTCTTGGGGGCCTCCAAATCACCCAGGAGTGCTTGCTAAGAAGGTGGGGCCTGGGCCTAAGCTTCGTCCCTGCTACATTCCTCCCCACCCCGGCCAGCAGCCCCCTCCCATCTCTGCACTCGACCCTCTTTTTTCTTTTCCCGTAAGTCGACGGCAACTTGGAGCACACCCAGCCACCCCACTCAGGTCACAGTGGAAACGAGGCTCCTGGAGGT